AACCGATCCACGGGCGATCTACGTTCTTTTTTTCTCCTCATCGCAGCCGGACCTACGTCATTCGTCAGCTTCACGTGCGTCGCGCATGCTAAAAGCTACATGGAGCGAGCCAGAGAGTCGGCTGTGTGGAGATATTTTACGCTTGCCACGCCAACTAGTTCGTCAGCTGTTTGCAATGTCTGCAAACTAAATGTTTCGAGGGGAGGTGGCATCACTGCAAGGTACAATACTACCAATTTAATCAAGCACATCCAGAAACATCATGCTAAGGAGCACGCTGAATTTCTGCAGCTCAGCAAAAAAAAAAAAAAAAAGGAGCAGACAATACAGCCCAGCAAACTTTGAAGGATGCATTTCAAAGACGCGAAAAGTTTCCGAAGGAAAGCTTTAAAGCTTCGGCAATCACACAGAAAGTTGTCAAATTCATTGTTTTAGATGCTCAACCAATGTCAGTTGTTGAAGATGAGGCATGTCGGGGGAACCAGTGCGACGCTTACTTCGGGAGTTGGCCCACTAAAGGCCGTCGGCCCTGCAGCCCAATATAAGAACATACGGTTGTTTTTGTCAAGTTTCCAATTATGAGCGGCATTTAATTTAGTCTTCTGAAGCGAGTGTGGGGACTTGGCTGATGTGTGTCTGGTTGGAGACACCGTGGAGCGGTTGGACACGAGGGGCGCATGAACTCGGGCCAAAGCACACGACAGCTCCCTTTGCCCCGTTGTCCTCTGCGTTGTGGCGGGACGGTAGGAGGTAACCCGCAACAGAACTGGGACGTTTCCCCCGCTTTTCGGCAGGCCAAGAATTTTAAAAGATTGACGTCTAAAGCCATTCCGAGTTTAAAAACGAAGCATATCCGTTCTATTGTTCATTATCAATTCAATTCAAGTTTAAAGCGTTCATGTATTAGCACCGACCAAGAATGTAATAACAAGTAAGTGTAATAAATTAAAGAAACACTCCCTGCAATAATAGTTTGGAAAATGCACCAGTTAAAATGGAAAGAGGCAAGAGGTACAGATGTTTCAGCACATCCCCGAACGGCTCATTAACCACTGAGGCACCTCGTGATTTATGCTCGGGCTAAAGAGGAGGAGGAGTTGTGCGTTCGCAGCGCAACGCTGACTAACGCAAAGAGTTAAGCTGCTGAAGCTCAGACGATCTGCACACCTCACTAGAGAAAGGAGGTGAGAGGAACCCACGCAGTCATATATATATATATATATAAACCTGACAGTTCTCCATCTTCAACCCAAAGCATATTCCAACACACTGTGGTTCTGTAGGCTCTGTAGAAGAAGTGGACACATTAACCGTGGCCATTTTGAAGCCTGAAGTTTGCCGATTTGGGCCGTGATGATTACAACCGTCGCCATCTTGGCTTTTTTCAACCAATAAATGGAAGTGACAATTTTTGGGGGGACTGCAGAGGAGTGGCGGTGTGGAGCCGTATACGGCAGCAACCTGTCAGTCACAATAAGCCTGTCCAAATGCATACTCATAGGAGCCCTTTGGATGGGTAGTATGTGAAGAGAAATGTTCAACGCCTGCTCTTTGTTCACAGGAGATTGCATGAGATAAGGTTCTATTCAAATGTGCACGAGGTAAACATCTACACACCGTGCACGGAGTGCTACAGCAGTAGAGCAGTTCCCACACAGAGGTAAAGTGAACGAGAGATTACTGTGTAGCAGAGGGCCCGTGAGCCTCGTGGTAACCTTGACTTTTTTGAGGATACAGCTATGCAGGCGAGGCAGCAAGAAGCCAGAAGGCTTTGAAGCTCTGCTGCAAAGAAGCTCGCAGGAATCCTGACGTCCCGCTGAATATCCTCTAACCCTCCCGTCTCTGCAAGCGATTCATTATCAAGTCAAGCACAGAGAAGAAACACACCACACAGACGGGGGAGACAGACAAAAGACAGAGTGGAGAAATAGGATTAAAATGAAGGCAGGTGGAAGACATTTGGAATTTAAAATAAACCCGGTCAAAACATCTAGTCCAAGCTATAGAATGTGTATAATGTGTGTGTTTGGACCAAACCCAACGCCGAAAATCACATCTTAAATGACTGCCCCATTTTTTTCTCTTTTCCTGCATAACAACCCTCCCCCCCCCCCCGTTCCCCTTGAATTACTATCAATATTCAATTAGGGGGCCGAGAACGCTGGAGGAGCCGGCCTCAACAACAAACCATGCTTCTGTGCGGATTAAGGCCCTTTAAACCAACGCGGTGAAATCTCTCGTACAGCAACAGAGCGTTCAGAGCGTCTGGGGCGAAGCGACGGGGACGTCAGTAAGAGGGTGGAGTTTATCCCGCTAGCTTTGTTGAAGAAATCAATTGATAACGTGATGGAATATTCTAACTGTTTGATTTATACAATATAAAAAAGACAAAGGGGTAGGTTTCAACAAACCAAAGACAGAAACAAGTGGTGTGCATTAGAAACAGCTTGACACAGGCCACATGAAGGAGGTTTTAAAAGGATCAATAAGGGCTCACTGATGCTGCTTTATCGGTCCTGATGGAGAGACTGGGATCATTCTGCCCTAAATATAAATCATCACAATATTAAGATAAAACCAATTCAAATTCATCAAAATCTAACTACTAGATCGCGGCAGAATAAGTCGGGATAATTGGATAACTCAATGACAGATTACACAAGGCTGAGCCGGTGGCGCACATGCACCAACATGGAATGCCTCAAATTACACATCTGCCAGAGAATGCGGGTTGGAGCGGAGAGAGGTAGAATTACAGATGCCTGCACGCTCGCTCGCGAACCAAGCCTTCAGATCTTCACCGAAATAGTACCGCTTGAATTTCTGCCCGTTGCTCTCTGCGTCCCAAAAAAAGAAATGTGCAAAAAAAAAGAGGCTTTGAAGAGATAAATAATTAGTGCAGTGACTCCAGATATCAGAATATGCATAGAAGTCAATGGTTGCCGCTTGGATACAAACTCACAGTGGGAAATCACTGCACGGGTAAAAAAAAATAAAAAAAATACCAAAGAGACAGAAAGATAAATTGAATTTGAGGGCAGTGGACGCACCTGCGGACGGCGGTACAGGCCGCATGAGCAGGTGTCCACACGGACGGCGGATTCCTGCAGCGGTTTTGCCCGGCAGTGGACTGTTGTTACTGGATGCACATCTCTAACATCGGGGGAAAACTGCCCTGACGAATCCATTGAAAATACACAGCTTGAGTAAAACCGCCCATGCCAAGTCGGATTATCAGCATGGCTCCCTCGCAGTATAGGGAGGTGGTGCCAAAATGCACGGATTCATAAATAACCACAACGGGCCTTGTGAAATGTAAATGACTAAAAATATGAAGAGAAACATCTATTTTGCATTCATTACATCTTTGCAACTATTGAACTATTTTACTCTGTTTTGCTTGACCGTGAGCGGCGAGAGCCGAAAACAAGAATAATAATTATACAAAAAGGAGGAGAGAAAAACCGCAGAGAAAATGATGGAAAGAGCAGGGACGGGAAAGGCACTGGGGGCCTGGAGGCGGATCACAGGGAGCCCCTCAAAGCCGACTCCCGGAGCCCAGATGAAGGAGGCTCTGCGTGGAAGCAGGGGGGATGAAACACCATTCGGGGGTAGGGCCCCCCTGCCGCAATGCCTCTGTGTTCAGGGGCCTGTGAGCTCCTCCGCCTCTGAAGTGCTAAACAACACCACCACCCCCCACCCTTCCCCTCACACCCTGCAGCACCGGGCACTGCACCCCACGCCTCCTGCCATTTGGTGACAACGCAGGTCTGCGTGCACGGAAAAGGGGGAATGGTGCTCAGTGTACGTACAAATGTAACATCAGGGCTGCAGCAATTCCTCTGGTTCCACGTTCATAATGTGTGTAGCTGATCCACAACCCAAAGCGCGCATTAGGGTTGAAAAGACAGCAAATGGTGGATGAGAGGAATGTTATGATTTAACCGGACGAACATTTTTGTGCGAATGTCATTCATTTACTACACCCCAAAAAAAACGATTAATGGATTAATAATTAAAATTGTTCCAAAACAAAAAGACACAAAAAAAAAATCAGGAGATTTCACGTTTTTCAGAAGCTAAAAACTGCATTTCTGGCAAATCGTCAGAAGAGAAAAAATGATGTATCACTATTCTGACAATCAAGGCTTGAATCCACTAAACATTATGGGGTTATCAATGGTTCAAAAACATTGGTGTGATGCCCCTTAAAACAAAAAGGGATTCAAAAGCATAAACCACCTCACTAATAAAACCCCAAAATACCGCACAATGCAACATTTAATCATTGTGACTGTGACTAAATGAACGTGTGGATCATTTCTATGGTTCAAGTTATACAGTTAAATACTCCATTTGTCATTTAGGTCCTTTTTACATCCCTGTAACCGGAATATTTGGGGGTTTGGGCTGCCTGGCTGAACATACACAATTTGTCTGCAGCAGTGGGCCACTTTCCAAAAGAATGCGGTTTTAACCCGAGTAATGTGCTAACATTCCCCATTTACTCTCCGAATTGACTCATCAGCTACAAAGCGCAGCCACTTTAATCAGAACGGGATTTCTTATTTCTGTTTGATGGGTAGAAGAGCTGCGCAGCAAAGCGGGTCTGGCCCACATTAAAAAGGGACGTTGAACAATAACCAGCTTATTTATCTGCACGGGGACCACGTCCGTATTAAACTAGGGCCAAACTCAGGGACGCGCTGTGCGCAGTTTGCGCACCTTTTCACCAGACGAGTGCAAACGCAGCAAATGGGACAACGACACATCTAAGAAAGTGGCGGAATAACAACGGGGAACTATTTAAAGCTCCGGCGTGTTTCACGTCCAGAACGTCTCCAAAAGCGCTGCGACCAACGCGCCCATTGTTGTTGTTGTTGTTTTCGTAACATTTCACCCCAAAAAAACAAAAAAGTTTCCCCCTTTGCAGACATCGCGTGAAGCTCGGATCCGACACAAAGTGGCACAAAAGGACCAGCGGCGCTGCGTCCATTTACCTGCATGGTGAGGACTCCCAGCTCCTGCGAGGACAGACGCCTCATCTGATCGGACAAAACCTGCGCTTCCTCCAGGATGGAAAACTCCGCGTCGGCGGCGCAATATCCGCAGGAAAGCGCCGAGCAGATCAGAGCGACGCTCCAGGAAAAGGCGCCTAATCCCCCGTGGAAGCGACGGCGTTCGCCCCGGGAAGCGGCGCGCGCGCTCGGGTCGTCCCCGCCGCGCCTCGCCATGACGGCCGCGAGGGAGAGAGAAAGAGAGAGAGGGGGAGAGAGAGCTGGTGGCGGAAGGGGGAGGGAAAAAAAAACTTCAAGGGAAAACTACTTTTTAAAACTTTGCGTCGTGGAGGTCGCGTGTCCTTTCTCTCTCCGTGTAACGTCTCCAGAAGCCCCGGCGACGGCGACCATCGCGGCTCCCTGAACTCCCCCAAGAGAAGAAAGTAGATCCATGCACGAAAAAACACACGCGTTTCCTTTTTTCTTTTCTTTTTAAAGTCGATGTCGGTGTTCCGTCTTCGGTCGGTCCCTGCAACTCCTGGAAGTCTGGCAAAGTGAGCGTGCGTGCGTGTGTGTGTGTGTGTGAGAGAGAGAGCCGGAGGTTTTGCCACAATGGGGGTGAAAGTGGGAGGGGAGGAAACACGGGAGTCGGAGCGGCGCATGGATCCGCGGGTCGGTGGACCGGAGCTTCGCGGCAAAGACGTCCCGCGTCGACGTCCCAAACTATTTCCTGACCACACAACGATGTGTGAGCGCTAAAAAAAGGAAAATAATTGATTAAATGTTGGTTCTCTACAACTTTTAATCAATTATTTTCCTTTTTTGGAAAAGAGACCATGGAAAAAAAAACCAAGATGGTGCCCTTGAGGTTAAACGTCATGCATAGACATCTTTCACGTCGCAGCAAACACGTTAACGGATAACACACACAAACCGGTCACATCTGATGCAGATTATTGGAAAATAAAGTTCAACCTTTGGAGCAATATGAGTGAAAGCAACAGTTATATCCACCAGGAACCAGCAGAGACTCCGCTCCCGTAAGATCCACTTCTGGTTTTATTGCAGCTTCAGTTCCCCTCTGGCTGATCAGCTTGGGAGAAGAGCACGAGCTCGAGTAGTTGGACAATTTCCATTTTAATTTCTGACTGCAGAAGATATTTATAAAGTTGATTAGGTAGTAAAAAGGCAAAAGATGTGAGGCAATAAAGTTGAACAGCACCCATCAGTCAGCTGTCCTCTTTTGGGGTTTGGGGAACCAATTCAAGATTAAATGTCTTTATTTACCGTCACTCACACAAGGTTTACAGAGGAAGTTTGCTTTGATGCCTGAGGCTGTAACATCAGACTTTCTGCATCTCCTACTGTGATTGTTCCACTAAAATATTATCACTTAAATGGAGACATATTTTTCATATATGGTGTGTAACATCTCATTATTATATAAGTTGCTTTAAAGCTGAATATTACAGTGGAATGAGTCATTTTACTTAATGGACTCAACAAAAACGTGTAGACAGTGTTTACAACTTTGATGTTGATATCATGGCTAACATTGGTCTTTTTTTAGCAAGATGAACTACTATTACTCTCTTTAGTTCATTATTCCAATTGTCATCAGACGGTTCAATTCACACGGGTGTGAAATCCAAGTGTGATCGATGCAGTGAACTAACGCTTTATAAAACCAGAGATCAGCAGCGGGAAAAGAGTTCCTGCCTCCAGACTCCGCGGGGCTCCTGAATAGGTCGTCTGTCTGCGTCTTTGGCTCCAGCCGCCATCAGATGTTTGCATGGCAGTCAGACTCTTTTAGACACTTACAAACACAAGGGGATTAGCTGACTGGTTGGATGTTGTGAGTGTGCACCAGGCACATTTCCCAAGAAAACCCTTGTTTTCTTGTGCAGTTAGTTTATTAGCAAGCCAATCTCTATTCATAAGCACACAAATAGTGAATGTTTTTGACAGGGATTCATTTCCTGAATTGGTTGCAATATTTGTACAGGAGAAAATGTATAAAGATCCTTGTGCAAACAGAGACTGCATGAATTAACATAATGTGAAGCGGATAAAAATAAATGAAAGGGAAATCCAGATGGCACAACTTGTTCCAAAGATATGGTCAATTTCTCCCCGCGGCCACAGAGCCAGCGCTGACCTCATCAAAGCTCTGGTGTCGAGTTTGGAGGATTTTTAAAAATCAGCTGAACTCTCTGTGCTTCACACCTTGTATTTGTGCACGTTGTACCCACAGGCTCCATGCAGGAAGGGTCTCTGAGCTTGTGGATGTGTTAGTGCTGGAGCAGGTGTTTGGCAAAAGGAGTCAGAGAAAGACTCACCATGTGTACCTTCTCTATTCTCGACTCAACAACTTCTAAATATACAGTCTTATTAGTAATGTTATTCATGGACCTCACAAAGATCACTTAAAAGCGTATGTTTGCATTCCTAAAAGAACTGACAGGTACGAGGAAACGCGTCCAAATCAATTTGTTCTGACACATTTTGCTTCAAATGTTTTTCACTTGGATCTCGTCCAGTCTGCAGCTCAGCCAGAGCAAAATATCTGTCTGTAAAAGGACCAATCCCTCTCTGTGGACAGAACGCTGCTGGTTGATTCAGAGCTAAATATTTCCAAACACAAGAAAGCAGGTATGGGTCTTCATTAACAGAGAGAGAAGGCTTTGTTTTGCAGTATTACTCCATTTGCATTATTTTAATTACAGCACAGAGCCACCTGGTTTGGGACGATAAAGGGGAGAAATTGAAGCTGATTAGTTTGGGATCCACAATTTGAGAATATATAGCAATGGATTTTTGGGTGGGACGCAGGGTGGTCCTGTTCAAAGCGGGACAAGAAGACTGGGGTTTCACATCTGGCTTCAAAGGCAGCGCGGCCTGAAAGAGACGTTCTTTATACACAAGAACAGGACATTGTTGGCAAAGTCAAGATTGAATTTGAAGCCAGATTCAGTCAGGTGAAACAGCTTCTAATACAAGAGTATTGTTCGTATAGGGGAGGTGTAACGTGAGTGAGAAGGAGTCAATGCTACAGAGGTTTTTTTGTGCTGTGGAAATAAAGCCAAAATCCAAATACACAACAATTCCCCCACTACCGTGATCAGTCAACACAGAGCATGACAGAGATCTTCAAGTTGAGGATTATCGTCATTAATCCCTTCTTGGTGTTTATTCAGATACAAAGAAAAGTAGTTAATTGATGCACCAGTGTTAATACTGCATTTCTCACCCTGTCAAGGGCTCCAAATAGCAATTACGTCCGACATCCTAAAAGTGTAGACGAGAGATCCTGACTGACAAACGCGATCTTACTCTGTTGATGACCACGGCGCCTCGGTTACGACACACCGTGGATAAAAACAGAAATCATCACAGCATCCGACCTTCAGCTTTAGTTTTTGGGCATCCATCCATCCATCTGCAGACAGGAAACGCTCCGGGGACAAACTATCCCGCCAGAACTCCCCAGTTCTTCGAAATGCATGACAGAACCCTGTGATCACACGGCCATGAAAGGAGGACGGAGAACAAAACAGACAGAGATTGATTGTGGAGGCAAAGAGGTCACATTGTTTTTGTGGTCAAGGAGTCAGAGACACAGCTGTACATTGTTTGTGACCTTTGGAGTATTATAACCATTACCTGTATGATGATGATACATCATTAAGGATCCAACATTTAGGCCTTCTTACATACTAACATGTTTTCTTGTGAGGGTTATTAGCATCAGAATCAGCATTATTTAAATGGATTTAAAGGGATTTTACACTAGTCTAGATTTTACACATCTATTTACTCCCACAAGATAGAAATATACACAAAGCTAAAAACAAGAAAACAAAGACATTTACAACAAACATTTAAGAGTTGCCACACTGGCAAAACACAGTCTGCACCACCACTGAAAAGGGAAAGAAAAAAACTGGGTGAAGGATCTGATTACAAGTGGTATTCAGATCCACTGGCGCTATGAGGTGATGGCGTAATTAGAGGGAACAACGTTCAAAACATCAATACAGAAAAACTAAACCAATCATTTCACACAGGCAATCTGAGGCATTTACCCTATTGGGCTTTCAGAAGTACACATCAGCACGCACATCAGCCCCGCACATCAGCACGCACATCAGCCCCGCACATCAGCACGCACATCAGCACGCACATCGGTACGCACATCGGTACGGGTCGCTACTGGAAGCGGGGAGAGCAACAGAAGAATCAGAAATGGGAACAATAAGAAAGTACTAGTAAGTCTACATGCAAGACTCTGCTGCCACCAATTCATTTGCTGCATGTGTAGTGTGTTGGAGCAGGGGGTGGGGTCTTTAAAGGCAAGCACCAGTTACAATGGCCAACATGAAGTCTTTGGAGGTTTTCAGCCCCCCCAGCCCCTCTACAGCTGGATTTGAGAATCAGAACCAGATCTGCTCTGCTCCCCCGTCAGTTTTCATTCCAGCCTCCACCCCTCCTCCTCCCTTCCCTTAGCTACATCAAAAATGTCTCTTTGAAGACTTAAGCCGATTCCAAGTCAGACCCAGTGCTATTTCCAGCTCTGTGTGCAGTGCTGTGTTTGTCACCCGTGGGTGGAGCGACAGAAAAAGAATAAATCAGTGGGCATGCGTATGAGCGACGTGGGTTGACAACAAGAGGTTTGTTGCAAAACAAATGACAAGCTGCAAGCTGCATGTGTGCGTTTGTTGCCTGCGTGTGCAAACTCAGACCTTATAAAAAGAGAAATCAAAA